ATATTGGGACCACATTCGCCGTCTTTATATTTCTGGTTGGTCTCTCGTCTCCAGTGACTTACTATACACTATGGAGAGTGGCAAGCAAAGTGCCTCTGAACACTCTTTCAGTACCCATGGTGTGTTCCCGTCTGGACCAACAGCCTTTCTATCATCCAAATCCAGCAGGTGTCTCTTGCCCTCCTCACTCGCAATTTTGAACCCTTCCAAGGCCACCTGGTTTACTTCTCTTTCTCCGAGCACAGTGACCTCACCTTGTTATATTGTGAAGACCTCTTGGAACCTCTTGTTGAATTCTTCACACACCTCTTTGTCATTCTCTGTATACCTGTCCTCGCCTGTTCTAAGTTTCATTACCTGTTCTTTCACTGTTGTTTTCCTCCTGATGTGACTTTGGAATAGCTTTGGTTCGGTCTTGGCTTTGTTTGCTATATCATTTTCAGAATTTTTCTCTGTTTTTCTTCTCACCCTAACATGCTCATTCCTTGTTCTCTGGTATCTCTCTTTGCTTTCTGGTGTTCTGTTATTCCGGAAGTTCCTCCATGCCCTTTTGTTCAGTCCCTTTGCTTCCATACATGCCCTATTATACCATGGATACTTCTTTTGCTTCTCGGATTTTTCCCTTTGGGACGGAATAAACCTGTTTACTGCCTCCTGACACTTTTGGGTGACATAGTCCATCATATCTTGAACAGACTTATCTCTGAGGTCTGTGTCCCAATGTATTTTCCTTTGGAAACGTCTCATCTCCTCATAGTTCCACTTTCGGTATAACAGCCTTTTGTTTCCTAGTTCTTTTTTGGGGGAGATAATTCCTAGCTCTATCAGGTACTCAATGTTGAATGCACTGTGGTCACTCATTCCAAAGGGTGCTTCCATCTTAACTTCCCTTATATCCGACTCATTTAGGGTAAATATCAGATCGAGCATGGCTGGTACATCTTCTCCTCTCATTCTTGTTGGTTTCTTGATGTGCTGGATTAGAAAGTGTCTTGTTGCCATGTCCAGCAGCTTAGCTCTCCATGTGTCTGGTCCTCCATTCGGATCTCTGTTCTCCCAGTCTATTTTCCCGTGGTTGAAGTTTCTCATGATTAGTAGTCCAGATCCCTTCCTGCTGGCAACAGAAGCTGCTCTCTCAATTACGTTAATATTGGCCATGTTGTTTCTATCATATTCCTGTTTGGGTCTTCTGTCATTTGGTGGTGGATTATATATGACTACGACTATAATTTTTTGTCCTCCAGTTGTTATGGTACCAGCTATGTAGTTACTGAAACCATAACAGCCCTGAATAACCATCTCCTCAAAGTCCCAGCCCTCTCTTTCCAGCAGGGCTACACCACCACCACCTCTTCCTTCTCTCTCTCTTTCCTCATAACATAATATTCTTGTGGGAACACTGCATTTGTTAGGGTTTTCGTTAGCTTTGTTTCTGTGAGTGCTATTGTGTCTGGGTTTTCCTCTAGTATCCATTCTCCAAGCTCATTTGCTTTATTTGTAATTCCATCTATGTTAGTGTTCATTGCCCTGAGGCTCACTTTCTTCTGTCCCTTCTCAAATTGCCTCCATGGTGAGTGTTCTGCTGGTGGGGGAAGCTATTCTATGGGTGTGAGGATTTGTGAGGTGGATAACAGGGCTTCAGAGGATACTGGGGTGATGGGTGGGGGTCAGGTGAAGAGGAGGGGGACAGGGAGGGTATGGGATGAGGGGGGAGGTGAGACTGGAAGGAAAAGGGTGGAGTGGTGACATGGTGGGAGGAGGGAAGGGGTAGCAAGGTGGGAATGGGGTTTGGGGAAGGAAGATTTGGCTTAGCATTTGAGTGGTGGCAGGGTTTAGGGTAAGGGGGGTTTCTATGCAGCGAAGGGTGGTATGGTTGCCCTCCCCTCTGGTGTCACTGGGTAGCTGGTTGTGAGAGTTCCCTCACCTCTGGGGATGATGTGTTGAAAGCTGTGAGTTACTGATTTTCCCCTCTCGTCCTGCACTTCTTCCTTGCTTCTGCCGCCATGGCTCTCTCCTCCCTTGTCATTTACATATTTACATTTATTAGTTTACATATATTAGAAACAGGATGGGTCCAAGTACTGACCCCCGTGGGACTCCGCTGGTGACATCTCGCCACTCTGATATCTAACCCCTCACCGTTACTCCCTGTTTTCTGTTGCTTAAGTACTCCCTCATCCACTGGAGCACCTTCTCTTTTACTCCTGCCTCTTGCTCCAACTTTTTAAACAGCCTTTTATGGGGTACTGTGTCAAAGGCTTTTTGACAGTTCAGGAAAATGCAGTTGGGCCACCCTTCTCTTTCCTGCCTAATTTTTGTTGCCTGGTCATAAAATTCTATTAAACCTGTGAAGCCCGATTTACCATCCCTGAACCCATTTGGTGGTGCGTTACAAAGTTATTTCCCTCCAGATGCTCTACGAGCCTTTTCCTCACGATCTTCTCCATCACCTTGCATGGTATACAAGTTAAGGAAACTGGCCTGTAGTTCAGTGCCTCTT